ACACCTCTATATAAGGTGGGTTCATACCACTTGTAGAGGTGTGCTTGAGAGATGTAACATTGAGAGTGTTACTGTGTGTTAATTATGTAGATTTAGATCTAGATCCTTCTTTTGTAACACCTTTCATGATCGAATGCATCTCTTAATCACCCAAATCACCATATTCTTTGTGTGTTCTTTAATTCCGCATGCCAAATCAGTGCTCATAATTCAACATCTCAATTTTGTTTTGATTCCTTAATCAAAATGATTCTATGAATCGTTTTGTTCAGTAGATCCCTTCTTGATTCCTGTATCAAAGTTGTTCTTGAGTTCATAATCAAATCTTCGATTCAAGCTCTTGTTCTTCACTGATTAACTCTTCTAGTCGATCTTTGATTTTGGAATGAAGTTACAATAAGATCCAACAGTTGAAGAATCGATTGAAATAGAAGTTTGATTCAACATGTTTTGCTGTCGATTATCGATTAGAAAGAAGAACTAGAATGAAAACTTTGATTTTAATGTTATGAAATAAATTAAATTGAAGAGTCAAACTAAAAGTCAAAGTTGAGTTTTTGGTTGTGATTCAATCACAAGAAGTTATAAGGGTGAATGATTTTGATTTCACTGTATTTGGAATCGATGGTTGGATTTTGGGAATTCGATTTTGAGCCTTTGACGTAAAAAAGAAGACAGTTTAGATGGTTTGATGAGTGATTAGTTTTGGATTTGGATTTGTGGATGGTGATAATCGAATGGGATAGAAAATGCGAATTGATGGATTGATTTTTGATTTCGAATGGTTGGAGTCGATTATTGTTGGTCAATGGTTAAAAAAATTCGATTTTAGGTTCCCTGTAGAGAAAGCGAAGGACAAATCGTGAATGGTCAATGATTCGATGGTTGGTGATTCGATTATTCGTTGTCGATGGTCTAAGATTGAAAGCGAAGGATTTCACACTAAAAGCAAAGTCTGTGATGTTGAAAACGAATTCCTTGGAATAAAAACAAATCATTGAATCAATACTTCCTTTAGGTTCCTGTAATGTTGATGCTTTTGGATTTTGATAGCGAAGGGTCTCTGTATTGATATTTCGAATATTTGGGGTGATATCAATTTTTGAAGTCGATGTTTGAAAACTTGCGAATTCGTTTTTGGAGTTGTTAATGTCGATGACTTTGGGTTATTGAGTTTCGAAGGTTGTGACATTAAGTATCGACTAATGAAGCTTTTGAGTTACTTTCAAAAGTTGATAACGAGTTGGGAAGGAGACGGAAGCCTTCGTCACCTAATTCACGAATTGGGTAATGAATTGGAGAAGAAAACAAACATCTTTCGAAATTGGTCCCTGTAGTTTCGAAGATATGGCATAAATGGTCAAATTTTCGACATTTTGCAGTATTGTGAAGAATTTTCGCTATGAGTCCCTAAAGTTTCAGAATTGTGTCAGTTTATTGGGGTATAATTTCGACATTTTGAAGCATTGTGAAGAAGTTTCACTTTCAGCCCCTACAGTTAATGTGAATTGACGCTTTCTACCCAGTTTCGAAAATGGGGGAGTGTTTCGCATTTTTTGCTGTTTTGGGTGCACCGGGTCACTGCAGAATTTTGAAATTGACAATTTCTACCCAAATGTGTGAAATTTTGTCAAAGACGGTCCATGAACGAAGTTAAAAATTAAAACATTTTTGGATTTTCCGGATTGAAGCAAAATGTTTATGCCATGTGTTAAGGGGGAGTTTTGGATAGAAAATTTTAGAATTGAGCGCTTTCTCATTCCCTTTTTTGGTTTTATAATCATTTTTCGATTATAAAAAGGAGGAGATATTTAGATATGGAAATTCAAAACAATATTGAATTTTTCATATTACGCGGACTTGAAAACCGAAGTGACCTCGGGTATTTGAAGTTTATGAAATGACTCGATTGGAGATTCGGAAGTGATTTCGATTCATGACGGGTTTGGACTTATTGAAGATTTTTGGGGTGTGCTTTTATGCTCAACTTTAAGGTGATTATTTGGAGATTGAGAAACTCTTAATTATCCGTTGATGCTCGGTTTGTATGGTCTTACATTCTAGAACCCAGATTGAAAAGTCATGGAAGAATTGAAGATTTGATGTTCATCTCTACATATGTCACGTTTAAGGCTCGGTTCGTGAAGTTGCTCGTGTTTGGAAGATTTGAAGCGGGTCATCCATTCCTAACTTTGAGGGGGAGAATGTTAGGTACAAAGTTATCCATGTATGACTTTGTAAATGGTTTGACTTTTGTAGACCCACTTGCATGTGGTAAAGTAGCCTTGTGACATGAGAGATAGAGAGAGAGAGAGAAAGATAGATAGAGAGAGAGAGAGAGACATGCAAACACCTATATGTAAGGTGGGTTCATACCACTTGTAGAGGTGTGCTTGAGATATGTAACATTGAGAGTGTTAGTGTGTCTTAATTATGTAGATTCAGATCTAGATCCTTTTTTGTAACACCATTCATAATCAAATGCATCCCTTAAACACCCAAATCACCGTGTTCTTTGTGTGTTCTTTAATTCTGCATGCCAAATCAATGCTCATAATTCACATCAAATAATGCTAGTCGATTCTTCCACACTTTGTTATATGGAATTTATTATGGGGAAAAGATTGATTTTGGAGCCATATTATGGGGTCAATTTGTTCAAAATATTTCTTCAAAAACAAAGGATACTGAAATTTCATGTGCTTGGTTTTGGTCCATTGTGGTGAGGAATGCTATGCTCCATTATCATATTCCAGAGATGCGGTATGTTGTGATTGTTGATATTCCAAAGATGCAGACGGCGATGTTCGTTACTTCTGATCCAAATACCTTTTTGATAGTGGGTTCCATTTCCAAGCTATGTTATCTAGGGGTCCTATTGATCATCTTATCATTATGGAATACTTGAAAACTGCAATTTGTACTGGAGTTGGTGGTTCTGAAGAAGAAATTTATGAAGAAGATATTCCAAGGAAGAAAGTAAAAAGTTCTAGGCGAAAAGGGAAAACAATCATGTCTAAGAAATATAAGAATCATAAGAGGGCAAAGCCTCAACTTGTTATTGAAGAAGACTCAAGTGAACATATTGCAAGTCTTGATCGAAATGAAAAGGAGTCTGCTCTCAACAATGAAGTCACTTCTGACAACATTGGGGCGAAATCAATATCCATTTTGGAGCCAATTCAAACTCTTGTTGTCTCTTCACACATGGAGTCTGAATCAGGAATTTATACTCAGGTTGTTAATGATCCTTTTCTCAATATTTCTCAAACACCTCCTACTCCACCCATTGTTTCTGAAATCTCTCTATCCACACCAATTCCAACAAGTCCATTTTTTGGTCCTGTTTCTCATCCTTCAACAAAATCTGTTGAGATTCCTATTTTTTCTAAGGCAACTTCTGTAACTCAAACCACAATCCATACAGAACCTTCACCAGAGACTTCTACTTTCTAATCCCATAGCGAGGAGAATAGAACCTCAGGCATCCCTGGTAACACATCTGATATGGGGGCAAATGTCAATATTGGTGAAAATTTGTCTCAGTCACATGTATCTGCACCACAATTCACCTCTACTCCATCTGTTTCTGATGATGGTGAAGAAGAAATTTTAATGAAAGATGATTGTGAATCAAATGATGAGTTTGTGGCAACTGATTTTGTGTTTCATGTTGAAAGTGATCATGAAGATGATGATGCCCCAATGATCGAAGGAGATCTTCGCAAGCTGGACAAGAAGTTATATGAAATTATTTCTCAGTATTCTACTTTCATCAATATAAAGTATGAAGAACTTCTGTTTTCTCATCAAGCAAAAAATCAGAAGCTGGTCAAAGAATATGTTAATAAGCTTTCACAACATCAGAAGCTTGTTGATGATTCTGCTAAACCGGTTAAGGAAGCAAGTTCGCAAGTCTCAACCATTCTCATAGAAGTCAAAACAATCGCATCCAAGCATGAGGCTTTCATGACTTCATTTCAAACCTCTTTTGATACAAATGTTGCTGAAATGAACAAGGTGATTCTTAGTTTTCGGACTTCATTACAAAATGAAAAAGAAGCTTTATCTGATCTTCTCTTTCGGCTATAAAAAGACAATGATGATCATCACACATCCATAGCCAATTCCATTCTTACTTTGCATACAAGTCAAGCTCATGAACATAAAATAATGGATGATTTAGCTGATTCAACCAAGAAGATTAAGGTTCTTAGGGAACAATTAAAATTTATTGCTTTTGATCTTAGCAAAGCAAATGAAGAACTTTTGTTGGTGAAAGGGAAAAGTTTTCAGATAAATCAATGCTTTGTGAAGATTGTTGAAACCATATATGCGCCTGATGCATATTACATTTCCCAGCTTATGGATGCAAAGCTCAAACCAATTATTGCCAAATTGAATGATGTTATGAGTAGCAAGGCTACTTCGCAACAAGGGGATATGAAGGGGTGTTTCCAGAAGTTAACATCAATAATCCTTACCAGACGGGTTAAATGGAAAAGAACATTGTGAAAATCCATTTGGAGAAGAAATCTATGGAAGATAAATTGAAGAATTTAAGGGAAAAGAAAACTGGCCAAAAAGGTAATGAAGCTTTTGGTTCAGGAAAAGGAAATGTGAAAATTGTCTCTGAAAAGTTAGATGATTCGGATCCACCCTTGAAAAAAGAACAACAAGATGATTAAGCAAATCATGATGCATTTCTGGATGAGCTTAATGCTTTGAATCCGAAGCTTAATGGATAGGAAGCTGAAAAGAAGAATGCAAACGAAATTATTGCGAACAAGAAAGCTCCATTTCCACCATGGTCAATCGAAAAAATTGAATAAGAAGCTCTCAACAATCCAAAACTCTATTGGTTGGAACCTCAAACATGTTTCTCAGTTGATAACGATGTTGACTGTTAGATGGATTTGCCTATCACTGTGAAGGCCTTTCAGTTTCGTTCTTTTGAGAATGTTCGGAAGATGCCTATGGGGAATACAACAATCAATAGAAAGTTGTTCAATATCTACGTGAAGCATTAAAAACCACAATATGAATCTTGGAACATAAAGAAGATTGTTGGTTTGAAAATTGGAAATTCAGAAAATTTTGATGATTTGTCAATATTCATTTCAAGGCAGTTTGTGGAAACAATCATGAAACAGATGAGTTTACTTTGGCTAATCTTCCTTTGATAAATCCTTCTGATTGGATTTCAATTCTTAATATTGTTTCAAGAGAGCCTTTCAAGTATGAACCTATCTGCTCTTATATGAAGAGATTGATAAAAGCATATATCATTGAAATTGCAAAGATGGATATTCTCATTCGTTTTGAACAAAAGATCGATTGTGAAGCCAATGGAACCTCCAGAAAATCTTTACTCGATGAAGGGTGGATTTATCGAGAATGGGAATTGGGGAGTTGTTTTCAAAGTAAAAGAAAATGAAGTTCCGAAGAAGTGTATGTTCTATTTGATTGATAAGCACTTGTACTCTTCTGCGGCTTTAAATCAAATCCTAGCAAATGTAGTGAAGTTCAAGAAAAATTCTTCTGATGACTTGAAGTGTGTTTCAGATATAATATAGTGGTGGATCGGAGTTCATTCTGTTCTTTTAGGACTATGCCAAAAGTGTTTGAATCTGCAAAGAAACCTGAAGTAAAGACAACTGAAGAATATTGACACAAAGGGTGAGATTGTAGAGTTCATAGTTATGTTGTGTCATCTTGTAATGTTTAATTTGCAATTTCTTTACTTAGTGCGAGTTATGTTGCGATCTCGCAATTTTTGTTACCTTGAGTTCGCATCCTAGTTGTTGACTTGAGATGCCTTTATTTAAATCCTACGATGCCTGTATATAAGGATATTAGATAGAAGAACGGGTAATAGTTGATCTGATAGAATAGTTCCTTTCTTGTAATCGAATTATTATGATCTTACTCATTAACGAAAACAAAATCTTATTTACATCGTGTGTTCTTGTGAATCATATCATTATTTGATTTGTGAATATAAATGTTCCTTCAACCATATAGGTATGCCTGCATATTCTTTATGACTTACACAGGCTAAGGAAGTGTCACAACTGGAAATTTCAAGTCCGAAAACCAATGCCAAAGGAGTCCCGTATATGTAATAGTTATAACAATACTATTATTATGTTATGGAAATGTAAAATTTTGGAGAACTATGTTACCCTAAAACACTCATGATCTATGCAAATAAATGTGGTATGGGTTTTACGTCAAATATAAACACACAAACAATAAAGCCAACATATTAAAATTTTTCTATACCCTAGACCATGAACACTTCCCTAGGAAGCACTATGGCCATGAACTACTTCTTAAGGACCATAGTTGGCCGTAAACACACCCCAAGAGGCCACTTAGGCTATAAACCACCTCAATTCACCAATCCATGATCGTGAACCACCCAAAGCATCAAAGCCTTGGCCATGAACACCAATCTAGGCCACTTTTAGGCCGTGAACTACCTAGTGGACCTCCTTTTGACCGTAAACCCTAGTTTAAGGTCCATTTAGACCGTGAACTCCTTCCAAATTAAGTGTGTTTACGGTGATTGTTAGCTGCAAGGCATGAATTTCCAATGCAAATCCCAGTAATCTATGAATTAACCTTTAGAAATAGTCATTACCCATTAGTAATCAAAGCAAACATCCCATCCCATTTCTCATTCCTATAAGATGGGGCGTAAACCCCTTTTTCCATTTCACAATTCAATTGCATTCACTGTAAACCTTCTGTAAACTCTCCCAAGACTTCACCTAAGTTCCAGGAACCATTTTCCTTCACAATTCTTCAATAGATTTGGTAAGTAAATTATGCCTAGTTAAATGATTCATACAATTGGTTATTTTTAATCTTCTACTCACACATGAAATTATGTGTTCATAATCTTATGTTAGAAAATCCTCAAGAAGTTCATTCAACACTTCAAGTGTTCTAGGCTCCCAATTCCTCAACTCATCTCTTCAACCACATTATCTTCTACCCAAGGTGAGCTTCATACCCCTATTTTTGAGCTTTTCATTGTTTTGGGGGAGGATACAAGTCAAGGGCCTTGTGAAATCTTAGTATATTTGCTTGTTTATGCATGCATGTTATGATTTGTGTGCTTAAGATTATGAAATTCCACATGGATGATTCAAGAATTCGAGATTTTGAACAAGTCTCAAGAGTTTGAACCATATATATCACAAATCATATGTTAGAAACAAAAAACTCATATGTTTATGGAATATGAGTCACAAATTATTATGACAAAAAAAACCATAAGGATGGCTTCAAAATTTGCTTAAACAAGTTGATGGACAAAATATTTGAAAGTGGT